TAATTAGAGAAGACATGCTTCTTAACCTCCAAAATTTGGTGGGCATATTAATTGTGGCCATATTAGAGAAACAACGTTTCATTTTTTTTTTCACCTATTCATCTCAAGGCTATTGAGAATAATTTTGGTTTTATCTCACTTGATTTACATATTAGAGAAACAACTTTTCATTTTTTTCCACCTGTTCATCTCAAGGCTATTGAGAATTAATAATTTTGGTTTTATCTCACTTGATTTAAAATCTGAGTAAAGACTCCCAAGATGCAGCGTGTCATAAAAACTACCCATTAAAAACTTTAAAACTGTATTTTTGTCAATGGTATAAATATAGTGAAGTATTTAAGTCTGGATAGGGGGATTACATTCATAGGCACTGGAATGCGGTAGAACAGAAAAATTGTTTTGTTTTTAGGAAGTTAGTATCACATGGCATGGAAGCAATAAGAAAAATAGCTAGTTCAGAGAAGTGAACTTTATAGTAGAGACAGGATTCCAGATTATGGAATATGATCATGGAAATTATCTTCAAAAGCTTCATTGGCCCCTAAAAGGCCAGAACAGTTAACAAGTGAACTTATCCACTTCAAGTTTCAACATGGATCTGTGAATCTGAATTTTCTGCAGAAACTAGCAATCTCCCTTTACTTATTAAAATCCCAATGATTAGACAAAGGGAGACTGTAATCTTGTGTTGAAGTTCAGTCAATACTTTACTCATCCTTCAAGTTTTCATGAGTTAACCAGGGAGCTGCATCCTTCTCTTCCAAGATAATAGAGATTCACAGTCTCAGGGCACCCTTTGGAAGCTTGCTGTTACCCATCTGTGCTGTTGTTGTTAGTTGTTATATGTCTTCAAGTCAGGATTTACTTATAGTGACCCTTCGCTTGTAGGGAGGTATTTTGAGACATGCTGGACCTGCAAAAATCTTCTGAGACGGTTTTCTATACCACCCATAAGGCATCCAATATATGTTATACAGTAGGTCACTAAATGCTACAGTGGTCTAATGAAGAGATATAAGACTATTTCTGCTAATTGAGACCAAAGGCCTGTGGAAAGTCCCACAGTAAACAGCCAGATGCCTATCATATTCCAACATGGGCAGAGCAGCATCCTTCTGTTTACTTCTAGTAGCTGCTGTGTAGAAGCATACTGTACTATCATGCATCAATGAAGAGCAACCCCTGTGTCTCTCAGTAGGCTTTCATTTATCCTCAATCATTTGGGCTTTCCTCAATCCAGTGTTACTGCTGCTTCCTTAGTGTGTGTGTTTTTCTTCCAAAATCTGACATACAGTAGTTTAACATTGTTTTATTTTTTATGCATATGGCATTGAGATTTTTACGTTTTGCTTTTGTTCTGTTTACATTTGTTGGTAATGTAGACTCAGACTGCATCAAGTGCATTCATGTTCTTTCAGGGTGCCTCGAGAATTGTATAATGGTAATCTTGTGAAAAAAACAGAGTAGGTACACTTAATGTTCTAAAGAGTTTGAATTATTAACAAAGTACGAGAGAAGGGAATGCTAGAAAGCAATAGGTTGTAACCTTTGTGGTACCATTGCTGCATCACAGGCTGTTTGATCAGGAATAGTCAAAGAAAACAAGGTGACATTTCATCAAAGTGTCCTAAAATTATTTGATAACATTAAAAATTATATGAAAGGAAGTGCACATTGTAACTGTTTTCTAGTCTTATTTATGTCTCCTGCCATTTAAAGGCGGTGTCATTTGGAGTTAAACAGATATCTTTTTTGTAGACATATAAAGACCAGACATACGCTGTGTCACGTTAAATTGGATACAAGTTTACTTCCCATAATCTACGTAGTTCTGTTTTGTGTGTCTTCCTTTAGAAAAAATGCATGTTCCTAGATATAAACTAGTAGAAGAAGTTAAAGGAATTAAATTTGACACATAGCATGCCCTTCTTTGGCTTCCATCCTTTGGCTCAGGCCCTTACTCTAATGTAAGGCATGTGCTTGATATACAGTCGCCAGGATTCTGTTCCCAACTTAAAAATGAAATATCTAGAGAACATAGGAGGTCTCTTGACATTATAAGTGAAGCTGATTTTCAAATATTTTCAAAAGTACTATTGGGAACCTTTAATTACTTTACTAAGGACTTTTAAAGTAGTGTCTTGTGTCCAGAATGAGGACATGACCATTTTTTATAGAGGACAGTCCTCTGTTTGAAAGTTTGCCTTGGGATAGTACTTCATTGGAAATTTCAAAAATCTGAAGCATAATTGACTAAATCTTCTCTTCATCTTTAAGTTCTGGTGAAAATACAGTTTGGAAGTACAATGCCATGAAAGATTTAATCTATTAACAAATACAAATGTTTAAGAAATCTTAAATGCACTAGGACAAGTCTGCATGGTACGTGTGTGGTCTTTCAGATGTTACTAGACTGCCTCACTGTTGATCATGCTGATTGGGACTGATGGGAGATGGAGTCCAACAGTGTATTCTCCCAGCCTGAGTTGTTGAATTAATTGATAACTGGTGATCTGAGATAGAAAACCTAGTTCTTAGTGTGTGGGGGGGAAAAAAAGAAGAAGAAGCAGTACCAGAAGAAATAAGATAATCTAGTCCAACATAATAATGCTATGGGAATATGTCTGTGAAGATTCTCAGAATTTAACTCACCCACAGTCCATCTAACAAGCCTATTCAGACCAGGGGGAAGTGAAACCAATGTGGTGGATATATCTGGAGTCTCCTATCAACTCTCCTCAGATTGAAGAAGCTACTTGGATGAGTAGCGAAATGTTTAAACCCAATAAGAAAGAAGTCCAGTTGCCATGAATCAACTTCCATAATTCTATGAGAAGTTAAATTTGCAAACATGTAATATAAATTAAGGATCCCACAAAATGAAGGCTTTTTAAGGGTCAAAAGAATGCATATGGCCCAGTATGGTCCATATGCCTCTGTCACACAAACAGCACTAAGTGCTGGTAATGGAACAGATCCCATGCAAATAATAAGCCTAGTGCCTCAGAAAACTTTAGAAAAAATCAAATAATAACTTCTGGATTGTGCCCAAAGCAAAACTGAATACTGATTACAGCTCAGAATAGAAACTAACTGTCCTTATTAAATATTCTTTGAGATATCCATAAATATAGAGCTAAAATATGTGCCCTGTAGTAAGCTAGGAAAAGTAGAACATTGAATGCACATTATCCTATAGGTAATTATATTTCCCATAATGAAAATGCAGGTGAATGTTCTTACATTAATTAATTGGTTGTAATTAAGTGGTTTATAAACTTGCTTGAAACAAGGTAGAAATATAAAAATAGGAAGGCTACATAAAAATAGGTCAACCGTACTGTTAATGTCTTAATAATATTTATTGTGCTCCCAAATACCAAGGGAATTATAGACCACATGCCTTCATCATACTTCACTGATATCCAGAATTTTGAATTTCTTTGTCAAAAAATCTCCCTGGGAAATATGCCAAGAGAGACAAAATTATCTGGACATCACCTCAGGTTCTAAACTTCTCCAAAGGCATAAAATCTGATATTCCTCCTATTTATGCAGTAACTGTATAAAACATCAAACTTTTTTATTTGTTCTTTTCTAGTTTTATATAAACAGAATTGGAAATAGAAATGACTAGTTTAGCAGTAAAACATAAAATGTTGCCTTCATATAAAAAAGTCTTTATTTATTTATTTATTTATTTGTTTGTTTGTTTATTTATTTATTTATTTATTTATTTATTTATTTATTTGATTTTTACCCCGCCCCTCTAGACCATGTCTACTCGGGGCGGCGTCATAAGACGAACTCATAAAATGTAATACCTTGGTTGGTTTCAGAATTTCCAGTTGAACTACTGTGTGGCTCTATGACTAAAGATAAAGGCACCCTTGGTATATACCATGGCACAACTTAATTAAGGAAAAGAACACTCTGTCGAGAAGGAGCCATAACTAACATTATAATCTCAAAAAAATCCAGATTTTATTAAAATTTGCAACAGGAAGTTCCAATCCAAATGATTTATTCACATCAAAAGAAATAACAGAGGGTAGAAAAGGTAGATGGCGCCAGGAAAGGAGGAAGACCAAATATAAGCTGGATTGGTTCAGTAGAAGAACCAACACCATTCCAATCAGATCTGTTAATGACAAGACTTTTGGAAATCCTTAGTTCTTAAAGTTACATGTCAGAAACAACTTGATAACACATAACAGCAATTACAAATAGGCCTTGTGCATGACATTACATAAGTGCCAGATGACCTTAAAGCTAGTGTGTCTGGAAAGACAGTTGAATTCTGATACAAGTGTCAGGCTGTTGGCAGAGCTGCATGGTCATGAATGAATTTATTTATTTTATCTATCTATCTATCTATCTATCTATCTATCTATCTATCTATCTATCTATCTATCTATCTATCTATCTATCTATCTATCTATCTATCTATCTATCTATCTATCTATTTAGAATGGTGATGATGTCATCAGCTAGCAATGCTACTCTTTAGGTTAATTTAATTGCTTCCTATTCCTCCCACCCCAAGTTCCAAGGCTCCCTGGAGATCCTTTTCAACCTGGTATTGTCTTTGAGAACCTCAGGATTGTGGAGAGCCTTTAATATCTGATACTTACTGATAGGGTCCTGAATCCAGTGGCAGAACTGGCCATAGCAATTTTCAGATATTAAATGTTTGTCATTGTGGTCTCTGTGAATGCATTTGATATAATTTGATGTTGGAAGTTCCTGTTTCAAGCGCAAAATAATCCACTGTGTGAATTCACAGTCAACAACATAAAGAACTAAAGTTATCAGCAATTATTGTCATGTTAATTTTATAGCAAGATATGATATGTATTTAAAGATAATATATACATTTAAGATTTTTTAGAATGAAAGCAAGTAACTTGCAACTTGAATGCTGTCAGATTATGTTTTTAAATGTCCGTGTTGACAACATATTTAGCTTTTAAAAATGAACTCTTTTCTAATATTAGGAAGGAACACAAGAACTCCCTTACATGGAAACTATCCAGCCCATTATTAAGCTGCTGTCAGCTCTTGGACAGAGGTCTTTCACAGCAAGGATTATCTGATCCTTTTATCTGCAGGTAGATAAGAACTGAATCTGGGAGTATTTGCATGCAAATCATTTTTCTTTTGTTTTTTACTAACATGCAGATTATGTGTACTATACATCTTCTTGAATGACCATTTTTAGTTCTTCAAATAAATTTGAAATTTACATGAATGTTGAGTTTTTTGTTTGTTTGAACTTGAGATTTTCAGTCACATAATAGAAATAAAGCATCTCAACGCTGTCCTACAAAAATCTTTTCAACTTATTTTGGTCGTTTTATGTTCAGCCACCTGGAATAATGAAAGTCTTCATTTAGAATTTAAAGATCTGACCTTATCCAGAGCTCCAGATATGCTGAGGTGCACACATGCAATCCTGCATATCTCATATCCTGCTTTCAGTTTAAATGGTACCCAGGTTTGCCAGGTCACCTGCATCCCGTTCTCTAAGATTTAAATCTCAAAACCTATGTCTAGTAGGAAGAACCTTACGGTATTGGAGGGAGAAGTCATAGAGTGGGGCAGGGAGTTTTTGCCAGCTTTGTACTGCTGTTACCAGGGCCTGTGAAACAAGACATTTTATAAGTCATGATGCCAGTGCTGCATTCATTGTGCTGTTTCACATGGCATGGTGGGCTTTCTGTTGCTACACAAAAAAGCCAAGAGTGGGTGGGGGCTGGCGAGCTAGCCATTTGGTGAATAACATGCACATTACATGCTGAGCCAGTAAGCCATCTTGGAATGAGTAGAGATGGTTGCCTTAGAGAAGCCCTTTGTCATGGCAAGAAGGTTTAGTGTGATGTGTATCTATATTTCCTCTATGCCTACCTCTTAAATACTGGATGTTACAAGAGATTGCCTAGGGAAGAATCAACTGCTGGAAAACAGTGTCATCTTTCTATATGACTGGAAGTCACTTGGGGAAAGTATGAGTTATTTATCCCAGATCTTCTGACATGAAAACTTTAAGAATGACCATCTGATGATAAAAAGTGCCAAGCTAGACAACTCTGCAAAATGCTTACACTTTGGTGTCTAATTCTATTATCAATTTGGGCATTAGTGAGATTCTTTGTTACTGTTTTACCAGTGAGTGAAATGTAAACATCAAGAAAGTTGGAAGGCCTTCAATATACTTAATGAACAAGTTCACCTACCACTGCGGTATCAAAATGTTCATATGGAGCTGAGATGCCTCGGTTCAATGAGCCTCGGCATAGACCTAGAACGTGTGAGGTGCTGCTCAACTACTGATTTCAGGGGTTTCTTGGCACCAGTCAGCTGAAGGGATGTCAGATTTCTCTCTACATTACTGTTTAACTTGACATCTGAGCATTCAGCTTTTAGGCAGGCGGTACATCATGGCCTCTCCCATTTTGAAGAGACCCTTGTCCAGCAGGCCAAGGCAAAGAGCCAGTCATGAAAGCAGCAAAATCAGGGAGCTGGACAGGGAACAGATTGTATTTGTCTTGTGTGGAAGGATTGTCACTCTCATATTGGCCTTCTCAGCCACACTAGACGCTGTTCCAAGTCCTCCATACAGAGCATGTTGCCATAGTCTCTCAAGACTGAAGGATGCCTAATCTAAATTGTTTAACTGCTATGCTTTCTGCTTTACTGTCAATTTAGTAAAGTTTTGTACAATTCCTCTGTAAGTATGACCATTGTTTCTGAATCCAAAAGACCCTTTTGGCAGCCTTGATCCTATACCTGGCTTTATAGCCACCTCAAATATGAAAATCAGTCTGTCCTCCTCTAGTGTTGCTCCCCTGGGGATTTGACTTGCTGCTTGAAGATCCAGAAAGATTCAGCAGTTCCTTCAGCTCATGCCCTGAGACTTAATAACACATGCCTCTGTGCATGCAAGGCTTGTGCAAAGTTATACCCGATAATCATTTGATTTATGTCTACTTCAAAGAGAGATGCTTTTAAAAGAAAAAATTCAGCTCCAGGTGTACTTTGCAGATAATGAAGCAATGAGCTATAGGGAAACCTCAGCAGTATTTATGTAGTTTATCACTCAGAGTGATGTGGATGCTAAATAATTGAATACTATCCTTGACATGTTTGCTCAGACTGGTCAGAAACACTGAGAAAAAGTGAAATTAATGTACCCATAAATTACTTCATTGATGAAAGAAATGCAATACTTTTTCGAAAAAAGAAGTTGGATAATCAAATAAAAATAAGACCACTGAGATCCATTTGTTTGGAAAAGCAAGTTGTTAAATTTTCCTTGAGAGCCTCTTACAAAGTTCTTCTAGTCTCCTAAGTACATCATTCTAGACTGCTGTCACAAAACTTAAGTGACAGATTTACAGTGCAGCATAATTTTTGTCTGCAGCTACCTTTGTCTGCTTTAATACTAGAACAGTTACCGTAGTAAAGCCTGAACATGAGGACTTGCCATATATATGTCATCCACATCAAGGTCATTATGAAATATAGGAGAATTAGCATACCAGATTAAACTAGTTTTCTGTCTAGTTTAGCATTTTGTTTGATGACCATGGCCAACCAGATTCTGCAGAGGAATTTATCCTTTTGTTTAATCCCAAAATCAGATAATGGCAGGTTTTTAGTTTCTGTGTATAGGAGCATTTCTTTGTGGTTGCTTAGTTATTAAGTAGTCTGTAATTTAATTTGATACCATGTTAGTTAAATTGTTCATATTCCTTGCAGTCATTTCATCCCCTTACAGGCATGCAGTTTGTCACTTGCTTCTGGTAAATACCAACTGCTTCATTGAGAAAACTGTTTAATTCCTCTCTAGCCAATGGGTTCTGCCCGTACATCCATTGCTCCTTCTGTTAGTAGCGTTTCTAGTTGAAGAAATATCGTGATTGCCAAGTAGAGCCAACAGTAGCAACAACAGAGGCAGTAAGCACAGAGAGGGGGGGAAGTGCAGCTGAGAAAGTAAAGCAGAGGAACTTGGAAAATAAAAGAATGAAAAGCGGTTGCGACTCAGTGGCAGCACTGCAAGTAGTAGCAGGCAAATTGCCTGTCACACGCTGAGATGTGCAATATATTTTACAGTTGCTTTTATGAGTGGAATGGAGGAAGTCGCTAGTCCAAGCAGAGAACTGAGGTGATAGGATGAGATACCTACCCACCCACACTCACTGACTACTGGCCACCACTGGAATAGGATGTTATATGGGAGAAAAAGAGATCTTTGTAATAAAGTTCTAGTTCTGGTTGTCATCTGAAATATTTGTAGGATAGCCACCCACTGGAGGAAAACTGCATTGCCCTTTTTTAATTTGTAGAAATGGCCTTCAGTAGAAAACATGTGATCCAGAACACCAACAGCTACAGTTCCAGATTTCTTCCCGGTGTGTTTTGTTTTTTTTTTTTTTTTTACACTGCCAGTTCATCACAGTGCTTCAGCTGGTGTGCCATCTAAGATATGTATGCAAGGATACAGATCACTTTATAAACCTGGGGCTTTATCACTTTAGAATTTTACAACATTTTAATCTAATGTAAGAGTAGAAATAACCAGTTTCTCTAAAATGCAGGAATATTATCTGTGTAGAAGCATAAATTCATTCCCACATTCCCTTGTGGTCTTAATATGGTACATGCCACTAGGCAAAAGTAAGATAGAAAAAGATTGCGTGTGGCTGTAACTGAGTTGATGAATGAAAAGGCGTGGAGAGAGAGAGTGGATTAGAGCTTCCTTTTGCTATAGCGGTGATATCATACACTATCACTAACATATGGTTGGTCATTTTGCATTTCAGATCACTGCTTGTCATTGAGCACAAAGAAACCACAGCGACTTTTACATCCTTCATTAAGAAGAAAGAAGTCAGCAGAGCAGGATCAATATAGACTTGTTTTCTGGTGGCCTTTTCATACAAAGGCTGCCCACGGAGGGGGGCAGAAAAGAAAGGCATACCGTGATATTTAATGAGCTATGAAATGAAGCTTTCCTGCTGCTGCTCCTCCTGCTGCTGCTGCTGCTGCTGCTGCTAGCCTTCTGATTCCAAGATTGGTCTGCTATTCATTGTGTTTAATATACATGTTTCTGCACCGTGCATTTAGAAGACTCCAGAGAGGAATTCAAAACGGCTGCCGGGGAAAGGCCACCAAACATGCCTACAGAAACACTACAGACAGGTAGCATGGTCAAACCCGTCAGCCCTGCCATCACGTTCACCTCTGCTGTCCCTCTCCGCATCTTAAACAAAGGACCTGACTACTTCCGCAGGCAAGCGGAGCCTAATCCAAAAAGACTTAGTGCTGTGGAGAGGCTAGAAGCTGACAAGGCAAAATATGTCAAGAGCCAGGAGGTCATCAATGCCAAACAAGAACCAGTGAAGCCAGCAGTGCTCCCCAAGCCACCAGTTTGTCCTGCGGCTAAGCGGGCCTTGGGCAGCCCTACTTTGAAAGTGTTTAGCAACAATGCAAAGACTGAGAGTGGCGTCCAGAGGGAGAATCTAAAGCTAGAGATTTTGAAAAACATCATCAACAGCTCAGAGGGCTCTAGTTCAGGTTCAGGTCACAAACACAGTTCGCGAAACTGGCCTCCCCACAAATCAGAATCAGGAGACAAAAACCGGCACTCATTTGCAGAATCCTTAAAGGTTTACCCCACCCAAGGCCGAAGCAGCCCTCAAGAAAGCAACTCCAGCGTGAGTAGACGGCTGCTGGAACAGTCAGCAGAGTCATTCTTGCATGTTTCTCATAGCTCCTCAGACATTAGAAAAGTATCTAGCAGCAAAACCTTGAAAGCAATACCATGCAGTAGTTCAGCTCCACCTCTGCCTCCTAAACCCAAAATTGCTGCCCTCACCACCCTGAAATCACCAGAGATAGACACAGTGGAATCAAGTTGTGGAGTCAGCAGACGACCCTCCCTGCAGCGATCAAAGTCAGACTTAAGTGACAGATACTTTCGAGTCGATGCTGATGTTGAAAGATTCTTTAACTATTGTGGACTGGATCCTGAAGAGCTTGAAAACCTTGGGATGGAAAACTTTGCAAGGGCTAACTCTGACATTATCTCTCTCAACTTTCGCAGTGCAAGTATGATCAGTTCAGACTGTGAACAGTCTCAGGACAGCAACAGTGACCTTAGAAATGATGACAGTGCCAATGACCGCGTGCCATATGGCATTTCTGCAATTGAAAGAAATGCCAGAATCATCAAGTGGTTATACAGCATCAAACAAGCTAGAGAGTCACAGAAAGTGTCCCATGTGTGAGTGAATCTGCTGCGAGTCAGGGAGGGGGAAGAAGAAAGACTGTACCTTTGTGAATATTCAGTTGTGAAGGGTTGTGAAGTCTACTTGAAGTCTTAATACACTTCTCAGATCTCGATCTCTCTCTTTTTTTCTTTTCTTTTTTTGTTGTGTTGCTTGTTGTGCAATGTTTTCAAGTTGCATGCCTGTCAACATGGGAACTGACCTGGCTTCCACTTGAACAATAACTAGCTACAGAGCCTGGCTAAGCATAGACTTGTTATCTGCCAAAAGTTTAAGACCAGAATCTAAATAGGGCTTTGTTTCTGAACAAATTGTTTACATTAAATGGTTATATGGCTTCTTTTTAATAGTCTTGTAGTCCCTTGTGAGTTTTTTAATATCCTATAACGTTGGGTGTCTTGAGCACATGTATAGTTAAGACACATGTATTGTTTGAAGTTAAGATTTAATAGGAGGGGAAATTGCCAAATAAGGTTGTTGTAAAACCTTACCTAAAAATATCACTGTAATCTGTGGAATAAATGAGACAGATTAACTGTCCATAAACAAAATAGTATGGTATAGCTGGTTTTAGTTTTTTGAAACAGTTGCTTACTTTTCAAACAAATTGTGCACAGTTCTTTTTTGTTTTGTTTTAATGTTCTAAGTGAAGTATCTCATCCTTGCCCAGCCTTTTTACAAACTATGAAAGTAGTCTAGGAAGATGTCTCAAATTTTATAAATAACTCCTGCAGGTGTTTGGTGTAAAAAGAAAAGAAAAGTGGTGGTTTGGTTTTGGTAATTGGGGGATGTTTTGGAGTGATTCTGAGAAGGTGACATATGAAAACCAGGGATGACATTTTAAAGGAAGGTTCCTCGTCTTAAACTTTTGACAGGAATTGTTAGGTCCTGTTTTGCTGATCCTGAATGCCTTTAAATAGACAAAGCACATCATGATTACAAGCTCCTGCTGCTGACTACTTTTTCTTGTAGACCAGTTTGACCAGTTTGAGCAGTTCATGAACAGAAAATGGAAGTACACAGCCATATCAGTATGAGCCTCTTAATTCAGAAGCTGAACACAATATAGCTGAACTATATCTGAGAAATTGTAATTACGTTGTCTTAAATATGTTATATCTTAAGGCTGTGGAAATTTGTTACAGCTCTAGGAAACTATAGAAACATGACAGTATGTAGCTTTTTTTAACCCCTTCTCTTCTGTCGTCTTCTGCCCTCCAGTGTTTAGTGCTGCACTTCAAACTGTTACACCTTTTGGTTCCCTTTTCTTTCCTTTTTTAACACTCTTGTGTCTTCCCAGTGGTTTAACTGTCATGTCAAAGTGACAGTTGTGGATAAGTAGTTGAAAAGTTGAAAGTGCAGTGGTCTGCTTCATTATTATTATAATTATTCTTATTATTCCTGCTTTGAAGTACTTTTGCAGCACTATCTTATAATTCATCACTAATAGGAAACTTCTTATTGTGTAAATGCTGTAAGACTTTGTACATATTTCAGTTCTTATGAGATCTTTAAAAAAGTGTTATGCTAATAAATAGCTCTTGGTGCAGCTACCACTTATGTGTTTCTCTTTTTGTACTCTTCAGCATGCTGTGTTAGAACTGGTCTACAGGGGAGATAAAATACAACAACCTCCCACCTTGGCATTTCCCTGAAAACAAAGTAGATATGAGTAGTACTTCGTAGTAGTACCGTAGGGACGGCAACCAGAACCACTGCAGTCTTAAATGAAATACCCATCCCTAAATTGTCAGCAAACTTCCATCTAGGAGGAGAGAATTTGCTACCCTTCCATTTATGCCATGGTCCTGATCAGCAGCTGTTTACAGATCTTGGCAGCTTCTATTTACAGTAACAAGATCAGGCATGCTAAATGTATATACAGTCATGGCCAAAAATATTGGCACCCTTGCAATTCTGTCAGAAAATGCACCTCTTCTCTCAGAAAACTGTTGCAGTTGCAAATGTTTTGGTACTCATATGTTCATTTCTTTGGTTTGTGTTGGAACAACACCAAAAAAAAAAAAAACAGAGAAGAAAAGCCACATCTGATACAATCCCACACAGAAACCCAAAAATGCTCTGGCCAAAATTATTGGCACCCTTAACTTAATATTTGGTAGCACCCCTTTGGGGAAAAAATAACTGAAATCGATCGCTTCTTGTAAACACGAAAGAGTTTCTTATTTATTTATTTTATTTATTTATTTATTGCATTTATATGCCGCCCATCTAGACATAGTCTACTCTGGGCGGCTCACAACTTAGAAGATAAAAACAATTTAAAATATACAGTTTTACATTAAAAAACAAAATGATATAAAATATAATATAAATTTACGATTTTAACAGTTAATTTAAAGCAAATTAACTGCTTTAAATTGAAACAGTTAATTTAAAGCAAAGAATGAGTTTCTTACACCTCTCTACTGGAATTTTGGGCCACTCTTTTGCAAACTGCTCCAAGGCCTTCAGATTTGAAGGATGCCTTCTGCCAATTACTGTTTTGAGATATCTCCACAGGTATTTGATGGGAATCAGATCTGAACTCATTGCTGGCCATTTCAGAACTCTCCAGCGCTTTATTTGTAACAATTTCTGAGTGTTTTTTGAACTGTGTTTTGGGTCATTGTCCTCTTGGAAGACCCATGACCTCTGGTGGAGATGCAGTTTTCTGACACTGGCCATTACATTGCACCCTAAAATTCTTTGGTAATCATCAGATTTCATGATACCATTCACACAGTCAAGACATCCAGTGGCAGAAGCCACCTTGCTTGACTATAGGGACTGTGTTCTTTTCTTTGAATGCCTCATTTTTTTCTATAAACATTGCCATAATGTCCTTTGCCAAAAAGCTCTACTTTTGTCTCAACTGTCCACAATACGTTCTCCCAGAAGGATTGTGGTTTTGTCACATAAGTTTTGGCATACTCCAGTCTTGCTTTTTTTATGCCTTTGTGTCAGCAGCGGTGTCCTCCTGGGACTCTTACCACAGTATCCCTTTTCATTCAGATGGCAACAGATAGTCAGTACCCCTTTTCATTCAGATGGCAACGGATAGTGCGAGCTGACACTGTTGTGCCCTGTGTCTGTAGATCAGCTTGAATTTGTTGGGAAGTTAATCTGGGTTCTGTATCCACCATTTGAACAACCCTTCACTGTAATTTTTCAGGAATGTTGCTCTTCCATCCACATCCAGGGAGGTTAGCTACAGTGCCATGGGCTGGAAACCTCTTGATGATATTGCACACAGAGGACAGGAATATTAAGATCTCTGGAGATGGACTTGTAGCCTTTACACTTCATTCTTTTTCCCATGCTCAGTCTCACATCCAACACAAAGTCAACTTTTCTCCATCTTAACTGGTTGCAAGTGTGATTACGATATTGCCCACACCTCTTACTTGCGACAGGTGTGTCTAAATACAAATTAAAGGAGCATCGCATGCTTGAAAAGCAATTAATCTCTTACAATTTAGACAGGGTGTCAATAATTTTGGCCAGTGCATTTTTGGGTTTCTGTGTGGGATTGTATCAGATTTGACTTTTCTTCTCTGTTTTTTGTGTGTTGTTTCAATGCAAACCAAAGAAATGAACATGTGGGTACCAAAACATTTGCAACTGCAACAGTTTTCTGAGAGAAGAGGTACATTTTCTGACAGAATTGCAAGGGTGCCAATATTTTTGGCCATGACTGTAATATTGTGTCTTACTCTGCACCTGTAGGAACAACTTTTCTTCATAACAAGCTCAATTAATCTGGTTCTAGAGAGAAAATAAATTCCAACAGATAGTTTATACTCTTAAGATTCTACCCAGAGACGTTTCTAGAACACATCCTAATTATTAGATACTTTCAAACAAATCAACCAGTGTGGATACTCAGTATGAGATTTAGAGAACTTTGTCCTGTATGTTTTGCAGGAAAACATCAATTAGAAACGGGAAGAAGAGGACTGGAAGTTTTTCTACACTTATGGCAGCCCATCAAGGTGTAAGTCAGCAGAGGGAAACCAGTTTGCTCCCCAAAGCTTCTCCTATCTGCCTTTCATTTGAGCTAATAGGCTATTTAATTTGCAGCCGTTGGAGTTTTGCATGGAAGAACAGTTACAGAGAAGATTTTGTACCAAAGGGGCAGATTGTTATGATTTACACCTGCTCTTACCCAGTTTTTCATTGTTGGAATGTAGATTCTGAAACATTTCCAAACTGGAATTCAGCCCCTGGACCAAAAAATGCTCTTTGGTGAAACAGGAAGTTTCCTTAGAAAGGCCAACACTGTCACATATAACTTGCAAATATGAAGAAACTGAAAAAATGAGCTGATTCAATAAAAAGAGAATGTAGAATACTTTGACAGTAATATGAAATCTTTGGGGTGTTTTTTAAAGATCCAGTGTAAAGACAATTTTCTTACATGCCGTGATGTTGGAACTGATTTAAAACAATCCTAATATGACTTTCAAGGTAAGTGAGGTATTTAAAGAGTGGTTATACCAGTTCCACAGCCCCAGTTAGTTGCCATGGCTGAGTGGGAATTAGAGCCCACCTCTTGCATCCAATCCACCACACTGGATATCAGTAAAGACCATGAGCTAGTTAATATTTGCCCCAGATAAATTCATTGGTAGAAATATCAAAGCGGGGTGGTGGTGGTATTTTATTGAATCACACTGCATACAGTATATTACAATAACATTGTCATAAAAAGGAATGAAAGACTATGTGGGCAAATACAGATGAAGTCATAACCCAAAAGACTGGATAAGTGGGTTACAGCATTGTCACCATCATCATTCCGATAAATGTATCTTTTAAGAAGAACAACTCTACCTTTGGTGTAGGAAATGAAGGAAAGATTTGGTCCAAACAAAAAACCTCTAGCTTAAGAACAAGCAGCATGATCTGCATGGCTTATTCCACATGCCAACAGTTCTTTTCCTTCTTGCCCCTTGATTCTGTGGTAGGTAGAAGGGTGCAGTGTTGTTGTTTTGTCTTTCATTTCGATGACACTGTTATAGCCCAAGCATATATGGCTTTGCAAAGTTATCTGACTAAGTTTGCCCATGGAAGTGATTTGAACACGATTTGGGCAACTGAGCCTGAGAATATTCTTGTAATACTGTTCTTCTGAATTATTCTTGATGAAACTTTTTGGCTTGTCTGATTTATATTTAAATCTGGGTCCATCAGAATTTAGCATTGTGGCGGGGGGCTTGCCTTATGAGAGGCTGCAGGATTGGTTAAGGATTGGTTTGGTGCTGATATCCATCTACAAGTGAGATTTGTAATATAACCCCCCCCAACCTGTTCCCATAATGATTTAATAGCCTTTTGTTCCATATGTATACAAGTTTCTTTTTCCTTATATCCCTCTCTAGCACAAAGGAAATCCCATTTGGTTACACAAATGGGGATAAGACACAGCCTATACAACAGCATCGAAGAAGTCTCACACACTGCAGCTGAGATGGATTGAGTATCTGTTTGGTCCAGATAGACAGCCAAAGAGTCTCTGAAATAAGAGACAGCATACTCAATATATCTGTTTCCCATATGGTCCTTCAACATTTTCTGTGATCATTAAGACTGTGAAGCAAACATAAACAATGTCAACTAGGTTTTGGATCTGAGTAAACATTTTCAAACACCGATCTAATTGTCTTGGCTTCTTTTCTTGTGTTAGTGGCATGTGCCTGATGACCCTGCCCTATGAAAGGACACTTTTAATAGTTACATAACCAGACTTATTCCTGGGAAATTCTCCCTCCCATCTCAGCAAGTGGTGGGATCCTCCAGTATTTAATCCACTGTCTAAATTACCCCCAACCCTGATATTATAAAGATTGCCTATAAGTTCTATATTTTTCACACACTTAAAAAACAAAAGGCGGAGCCTTAGGCAGAATGGGCGGGGGTTCCTCTGATTTTACTGGGGGGCTTTTTTTCTCCCTCTAAATTGGAGGACCAAACATTTTTAACTTTTCAACTCCCAACAAGTCTTTGGGCTTCTCCAGGTAAAAAGTAACTAAAGCTTGGAAAATCAAGTCTGAAAGTTAATTTGCTGGTGTTAAGCATTAGGAATGGGGATACTGATTTGTTGCTGTTCACATTTAAACCAGAAAACATTTAATGTCTCGAATGAATAATATTAATTCACTTATTAAACTGCTATTTTTAAAATAAAGAATGGTGTTTGTAGAGAATAGCACGTAGGTTGCTCCTAGATATGGGCACGTTGTATTTGTATCTCATGGATATTAATATGAACCGTGGCACCAATTACCTCCCCCAGAACCAGACAGCCAACTCACCAGGCTCCGCACGGCACTGCAGTCCTCCTCCAGCAGTGGCACACCAATCTCAGCAGGAGCCCAGCCAGCTCTTCCCTGCCTCCCCATGCAGCCAACCACTCATCAGCAGAGTGGAGAAACTCCCTGTCTCTCCTCCACACTGAAGTGGTTGGTTTGTTGGGGGGGGAGCTGGGCTCCCGCCAGGATTGGAGTGGCACTGCTGTCCCAGACAGAGCTACGTGGGTGGGCCAGCCAGTTCT